GCCAGAGTACAACCAGGGAATATTGTTTCAGCTTCCCAGCGCCTGGGGGGCTCCTGAGGGAACCTTGGGGAGTTTGGAGGACTCTCGACGGTTTCTGAGGGATTCTTGTGGATTCCGTGAGGATTCCCGTGGGATTCTGGATTCTCGAGAATCTCCTAAGGGTCCTTGAGGATTCTTGAAGGATGCCTGAGGACGCCAGAAAGATTACTGAGAGACTCTTGCGGACACCTGAGAATTCCGAAACACTTGTCGGGGATTCTGAAGGATTATTGATCTTGAGGGCTCCTGCAAGATTCATTGGGATGTCTGAGGATCCCGGAAAAGGTCTCGAGGATTCCTGAAGCATGCCTAACGGATTGTTCATTGATTGTTATAACGGATTCCAAGCGGATTCTTGAGGGACTCTGGAGGGATTCCTCAGGGGGCTCTTGCGGTTTCTGGAGGGACTCTGGTGGGATTCCTGAGGGACTCTTGCGGCTTCCTGGGGATTCCGGTAAGAATCTGGAGGATTCTTGATGGGCTCTTGCGTTCGTCATTGCTCATGCGTTCTCCGTCGTGGTAGTGCGGTCCAGTCGCCAGTCGTCTGTCGTTAGTGGTCCATCGTCGTCGTGTTCTCTCTCTCTCTCTCGCCGCGCCGCCGCCCGTGGGGAATGAGAGGGTCGAGGAGTGCAGGAGGAGAAGGAGGAGGAAGAGGAGGAGGAGGAGGGGGAGGAAGAAAAGGAGGAGGAGGAGGAGGGGGAGGAGGAAGAGGAGGAGGGGGAGGATGAAAACACAATGATGATGAGGCTGATGGTGATGATGGTGATGATGGTGGTGATGGTGCTAGTGATAGTGACGGTGCTACGGGTGTTGCTGCTGTTGTTGGTGGTAATGCTAATGCTGGCAATGACGTTGACGTTAGCGACGATGTTGATGCTGATAATCATGATGATGGTGCGAATGCTGAAGATGATGATGCTGATTATGATGATGGAGCTGATGCTGATGATTCTGGTGATGATATTGGTGATTAAGATTGTAGTGCTGCTGATGATGATGGTGCGACGCACGGTGTTGATGACGATAGGAATGAGGAGGGAGAGGAAGCGAGGAGTGATGGGAGGAGATGATTAAGGGGAAGGATGAGGAGAGGTTGAAGGACATCGAGGGGCAATACGGAGGAGGAGGAGGGCGAGTAGGAGGAAAAGCAAAGGGAGGATAAACCATGAGGAGGGTGATGGTGGTGATGGTTATGACGGTGGTGGTGGTAATGGTGCGGATGCTGATAATGATGCTGATGCTGACAATTGATGATGATGCTGATGGTCATGACTACGAAGATGGTGTTGACGATGACGATGCTGATAATGATGGCGGTGCTGATGATGATGCTGGTGATTAACCCCAGGAAGCATTTAAGAAACCCCCCGGCGATATCTTAGCACCGCATTTTTATTCGATATTCCGAGGGGCCGAAATAACCGCACGATAGGTTTAGCACCCGGACACACAACAAATTCGCGGAGGCCTGGCCCCTGGGCTACAATCGAAATTCGAAATTGGGCCCAGGTGACTTGGGCCCTGACAGGCCTTGGGCCCCGAGGGAAGGAGGGGGGCGCGGGAGGAGGAGGAGGAGGAGGAGGAGGAGGAGGAGGAGGAGGAGGAGGAGGAGGAGGAGGGGGCAGGAGGAAATTCGTGGGTGGAGGAGAGGAGGAGGAGGAGGAGGAGGAGGATGAGGATGAGGAGGAGGAGGAGGAGGGCTCCTGGTGCCAGGTAACGCTTCCAGGGTGCGGAAGGGTTATCGATTTGCCGGAAGGGGGGGGGGTTCTTAAATGCTTCCTGGGGTTATGATGACAAGAGAGAGCGCGTTTCACGGGCGCTTCCCTCGGGAACATTCGGCGGCTCGTTTCGAACTGGGGGGTGGGCCGCCCCCCAACACTCGACGCCGTCGATCAAAACCGGGGGGACTCCCCTACCCCCAAACCCCTCCCCCCTCCCGAACCCTCCCCCCCCCTCCCAGGGGCAGGGAGGGGTTCAAACCCCCCCCCACTCGGCGCCGGCACCGTGGCACCGGCGCTGGCGGCCGCCAGCAGCGACGACGGCGGGGACGCAGCGACGTGACCAAAAGTAGCCCCGGGGGGGGGGGTTCAACCGCCCCCCCCTGGCGCAACGACGCAACGACGATTGCTACCACTATCACCACAACCACCACTACCATTACCACCACCGCCTCAACCCACCACCACAACCAACAACCCACCAAACAACCACCACCACCACCACCATCACAGCCACCACCACCACCACAACCACCACCACTACAACGCACCATCACCACCACCACCACCACAAAAACCCACTACCACTACCACCACCAATCAACCACCACCACTACCACCGCCACAACCATCACCACTACCAGAAGCAAAACCCACCACCACCACAGACCACCACACCACCACCACCACCACAGACCACCACCACCGCCACCACCACCAGCACCACCTCCACAAACCACCGCCACCACCACAACCCACCACAACCACCACCACCAACCACCAACAGACCACCACCAAACCACCACTACCACCACAACCCACCACCACCACCGCAAACCACCACCACACCACCACCAAACTACCACCACCACCACCACTTCCCAACACCACCACAACTACCACCACCACCACAACAAACCACCACACCACCACCACCACAACCACCACCACCGCCACCACCACCAGAACTACCACCACCACCACTACCACCCTCGTCCTCGTCGACGCCCCCCGCCGCCGCCGCCCTCCGCCGCAGGCGCCGGCGCCGGCCCAGAAAAGGAAATCGTCGTCCCCGCCGCCGCCGCCAGCCGCCGCCGACGCAGGCGACGGCCCGAGGAGAGGGACAAGGGAGAAGTAGGGGAGGAGGAGGGAGAGGGGGGGGAGTTTCGAACCCCCGCGCCCCCCCGTCACTGGAGGGGAGGGATAATGGGTAATCGACCCCCCCCCTCCAGGCAGGGGGGGGGGGTCTGGTTCCAACCCCCCCCCCTCCAAGCGACCACAGAACGCGCTCTTTCGATGATAAGGGTCGTGTTGATGATGGTGATGCTGATGCTGATGAACACGATGATGATGCTTATGATGACGATGATGATGGTGATGATGCTGATGATGATTATTATGCTGATGCTGATGGCGATGAGCCAGCGACCCGACAGATCGCAACCGCTTCTTCAGATTTACATCGGGAAGGTTAAGGGAGCTCACTACATCGAAAAGCGCTGTTCTGATCCCTGCCTTAATCGGAACCGTCTTGAAGCACCCCCCAACACGTCGCAACCACTTCGCAACGATCGCAACTGGTTGCAATTGGTCCGAAGTGGTCAACGATGGGTCCGAAGTGGCTGCGACTGGTCGTGCTCGCTGGGGGAAGGCGCCCAGGGTAATGGAGGTGGGGGAGATTCCGGGGGGAAGGGTCAAGGCGAGGGAGGGAGGGTTGATCAATGACACCCTCGCCCAATAGACAGCACGTCAAAGCGGCGCAGGAGGAAGGGGGGAGAGGGAGGAAGGGAGGGAAGGGGCAGGAAGGGTAGGGGAGGAAGGGAGGGCAAAAGAGGAGGGAAGGAAGGGGAGGGAAGGAAGGGGAGGGGAGGGGAGGAAGGAAGGGGTGGAAGGGGAGGGGAGGGGAGGAAAAGGCGGTGGATGGATGTGTTCCACGCTGTGGGGGCAGCGTACACTAGAAGGCGGATGAGGTATCTGGAGGCGCAGAGGGCGGGAGGAGGCGGAGGTGGTATTTCGCGATGTGGGTGGGAGAGCGGGGGGTGGCGGAGGGAGGGGCGCCGCCAGATGGCAGATGGCACATTGGCGGGGCAGAGAGGGGGACGGAGAGAAGGGGATGGCCGTGGTGCGGATGCCATGTGGAGGCGAAACACCTAGCACACGCCCAGATGGGGACACCCCTCCTAAGGCATGAAGTAGCGGAGGCATGCAGGTAGCACACACGAAGGGGGTTGTTGCAAGGCGCGAGCGGCGCAACCATATGCCACACGATGCTTCTTTCGTTGTGTGGGTGAGAAGCGTTTGCCCTCCCCCCAGTAGAGCTGTTGCTACAGCTGTAAGGATCGTTGTGTACTTAATTCATAGATCAGCACCATAATACACAAATCACATGTCAATGCGGCCAAGGTTCTGTAATGACTGAGGTGGAGCATGCAACTCCAAAGTGGAATTAACACAACGACGATGAAGTGAAACGGGCGCGGGTGAGAGCGGACAGGATAGCCACACGGCGAAGGTAAATCGATAAGGGTTGGTGGCTTTGGGAATGCGCATGCGCATGGCTGAGTCCGCTGTTATCATGAATTATATAAGCAACCAGAGAGGAGAGGCGAGCGAAGTGAGCAAAGCAATGGTACTGGCCCAGAAAAATAGAAGGTGTGGAGAGGGGAGAAAAGAGCTAAGATACAGGGGCACGAATGCTAATTCTGGCTCACCGTCTGACGGGAGCACTACTGGAAATGCGTATTTCAGACAAAGGCTGGCAGATGGACCAGGCATAACATGCTCGAACCATCAACCGCGCCAACGGTGAAACCGTACAAGCCAACAGCCGGTGTGCTACTCGATTGATCCCCCTCCGGAGTCATTCCCCCTTCCTCCTTCACTCGTCTTTCCACTCTCGCGCCATCTCCCCCCGCCCTCGACGCGTGCGACTCTCGGAGAAACCAAAAGGTACCGATACCGCTACTCCCTGGACCTCTCCCGGGGTGCGTTCTGACCAAAATCTCGACGACGCGAATCCAGCGGTGGCGACGAGGGCTCCCGGAGAGGGTAGAGGCATGGGTACCCCCAAAGATCCGATGTCGTGATTTTTTCAATGCGCGGTCCCCGGAAGTCTCGACCCATTCTCCAGGACCGGGTTTTCATCCTGAGTCGTTGTTTGACAGTCCTGGGGCCCGGCGAGGGCCCCCAGAGGCCGAAAACTGTGAAAAACCTCCGTCTTGTTTTTTTCAATGCGTTGGATCTCTGAGCCTTTTCCTCCTCTGGACTCTGGGGTGGCTCGGGATGCAGATCAGAGGTTCGCCGTGGCCGTGGCGAGGGGGAGCACCGGGATGCTCTGCGCCGCCTGCGCGGGGCATGCCGACCAGGCGAACGACGCAGTCTTTTGGCCAACGATGGGAGAAAAGAGAAGGTCTCGATGCCGAGCCCAGCGCGGCGCAACTGCAAGGGCACGGGTGAAGGGGAACAAAGATTTTGTTCCCCCCCGGGACAACACCACGATGCAGCATCACAGCGAAGCAGTCATGACAGGATACTGCGGAAGTACGGGGACAACGAGACAGGAGGCCAGAGGAGAGGACGAGCAGAGACGAGGAGAACGAGCAGAGACGAGGAGACCGAGCAGAGACGAGGAGAACGAGCAGAGACGAGGAGAACGAGCAGAGACGAGGAATGACATGAACATAACAACTCGGAAGTCCGCGCAGATTTCTCGGACGCGCACTGGACCCCCCTGGCGGCGCCTCTGGCGCCGCCCCTGGCGCGCTCCGCGCGCCAGGGAGGGGGGTCCAGCGCGGATTCAAGAAATCCGCGCGGACCTTCGAGTTGTCATGTTTATGTCATGTTTCGCTCCCCTAGAATAATGTGGCGCTGGTGCAGAGCGGATGCGTGACTGCGAGCGATGGGCATGAATGGAGCTCGTGACAAGTGCAGTTCCAACTCCGTCACCGGCTCTACAAGCAAGACGACGAGTACCTACATCTTCACTGCATGCTGCTCCAGTCCTCCTCCTGGCTTCGGTGCTGCAGGTCCCGCATGTGGCAAAATTGGGTCAGCTCTTCGCGAGTCGCAGTTGGCATCCCTTTATGTCAGAGTAGGCACTTTCTCGGATCATGATTTGCGCGAGGGGGTCTGAATATTTTGTGCAAGCCGGCCACTGGTGAAAGAACGTGCTCCCGAGGCTAGGTTCATGGAGACCGCCTCCCCAGGGAGCCTCGGGGACGCCCCCCACACTCGAAGACCTGCACCCCTGCTCGCGAGTGCAATGCAAATTGTGGGCCACGCAACGCACAACGAAACCGAACAATTCCCCGAGATGAAGCGCAATGCAAAAGTATACAACACAAGATGCAACGCGATGAAACTCAACGGGGCGCAAAGAGTTGTAACACAACGCTGCTCAGAGCAAATCGATGCATAAAGTACAACGCCACTCAAATCGCAACGACAATAAGAAACACAAACAGCACGACCTCAATAATGGACAGCGAACGCGCCCCCGAGCTCGAAAGTGTGAGGGACACCTCTGGTAACAGCAACACAGCTGGCCGGGCGTCTCAAGTCAAATCTCCACACCGCCGCCAGCAGCGACGGCACTCTTTGACGGTGCGCACACGGGGGTGGAGGGAAGGGGGAGGGCTTCTTAGAGGGAGGTTGTTTCTAAGAAGAGAAGGCCCGCGCCTTCTAAGGAGTAGGGGTGCTTCTAAGAACCCCTCCCCCCTCTGCGCGTGGCTGATCAGGGGTGGAACGTCGAGATGGAATCGGCGATGCATCGCCGATAGATCGGCGATGCGCTCCCGATGGCGAGTCCGCACGCTCCTGGGCAGGCGTGGACTATCGGGGGGCCCATATCGGCGACCCATGGGGCGAATGGGTGCCAGTGAAACCCCCCTCTGCGCGTGGCCGAACTCTGGGGGTCTCGGAAGACAACCCCCACCTCGCCGCCTTCCCTGGCATCGCTCGGACGTGCATTCCCTGTGTTTTTTTCGGTTTCGTGCGTGGGTTTTTCGCTAAATGATCAAGGATGCTCCTCGATGGTCCTCACCGAAGGAAAAATACACACGTCCGAGCGATGCCAAGCTTCAGCTGACGCATTCCTTGCCAGGCTGCCGGCCCGCACTGCCAAGCGTCCCGCCGCCCGCTGCGCCTCGCCTCTCGGAGGACGCTTGTGGCCATGATCCGTGCGTCTGGTAGGGTCAGGTCGGGCATGTCCCCCTACAGGCGGATTTGGGGCGAAAAGTTGAAACATTGTCAAACTATATACACGAATAAATAAACACAACATGACTCAAAACATCGTCCCCCGACTACTGTTGACTACTTCGGAATAGTCCCCCTGCAGAGGGACAGGCCCGGCTGAAGAGCAGGGGCGGGAACTCCCTCGTGGGCAGCACATCTTTCGCAGCCGGGGCGATAGCTCGTGGGCTCGTCGGGCAGGATCCTCCCCGGAGACGTGCTGGACCTCGGCCGCTGCTCTGCTCTTGCTCGCCTCGCGGGCCTGCCACCCGAGGGGGCACCGCCCACCCACCCCCCGCCCCGGGGCGGCGGCCGGCGGTCCTGGGCACTCTTGGAGACGAGCGGGGTGGTCTGGCCAATCTTGTCGGTCGTGGGCATACCTGCACAAAAGGGGGGGGGACGGGAGGGCTCGCCATCGGTCGGACGTCCGTTCCCTGTGTTTGTTTCCGTTTCGTGCGTGGTTTTTGCGCCAAATGGTCAAGGATGCTCCTCGATGGTCCTCGCCGAGAAAAAAATGCACACGTCCGAGCGATGCCAAGAGGGGGGGGAGGCGGGCGAGGAGGAGCAGCCGCAGCACGGCCGCGGAGCGCCGGGGGAGGGCGCCCGAGAGAGAGAGAGAGAGGGGGGACGCGCGGAGGAGGAGGCGGGCGAGGCCTGGGAGACGTGCCATGGCACCTGCACGCAACGGGGCCAGATCTGGGCACGCAACTGCAACCCCTTCCTCGCTGCGGCACTCGTTTTGGGGCATCCGGTGGTTCCAATCCTTTGCCCTCATGGCGGCGCGCCCATGGACTTCCCACCTCGTGCGTCGTCCTCCTTCCTCCTGGCTCCTCCCTCCTCCCAGTCCTTCCTGAAGATTTCGGTGGACATGCAGCTGGAGCTCCACCCGCGAGCTCCAACATGTTTGTCCATGAGCAACAAACTCGTCCTCGCGCCTGCCGATGGGCAGCCTGCGCCGCGGCGGCCACAGCCAGCTCGTGCTGACCCTCTCTGCTTGCACAGGGACTCGAGCGCGCCGTCCAGCGCGGCCTGGGACTCCGAACGCGCCTTGTCGGCCGTGATAATTTCGCCTCGGCCTGTGTCATCGCCATCTCAGCCAGAGCGTCGTGCCCCCACACTTCCCCCCAAGCCCGCCGATGGCCATTGCAGGTCCTTCTCTGGATCGGGAAACAGCAGCGAATGTTTTCTGCGAGCAGTGCCCAGCGGCCAGGCAACTCTCCTTGCAGTGTTCGAGCACTTTGGACCAGGGATCACAAAGCCGTCGTCCGATGCCTTTTTGTGAACCGCCCCACTTCGATACTTGCGCCCTATCGCGAGTTGCCACTCAGGGACTCCGGCCAAGCGCGCACTGGCGCTTGAGTGCCCTTGCTCATTCCCGCCATAGCACAGCTGGGCGCGGCCCTTGGCCCACGCCCGCTCGGCCTCCGAGGCGTTGATCGTGCGCTCTTCCACACACGTCCGACAACCACGGGAGCGGACGTGTTGCCGAGCCCCTCAAGGTCGCCCACCTCGGAGTGCGCCCCGTCGCCCAGCTCCCCGATGAAGCAACTGTCGGCGTCGTTGCCCATTCTAGGCCAGCGCTGCCAGGTGTCCTCCCGAGGCGCGCCGCTCAGATCTCCTCGACGGTCGACGGTCAGCTCCTCGCGGCGCAGGATGGGCTTGCCCGTCTTAGCCTGAAGGCATAGGAAGACTTGCAAAAGCAATCAGACAAACATGTGACCTGGATCGGTCGACGCCCAGGGATAAGGCGCCGCGCTGATCGGGCATTTCATTGCGGGCGCATCGGCGCTCGAGACAAAATTGTCACAGACCATCGTACCACCCGTCTTGGACCGGACTGCAATCTAGCCGCAGCAGCAGCTGCGACAGCAGGAGCTGCATCGCAAAACCGCTCCAGCACCAGCTCCACCAACAGCAGCGAAACCAGGCTCAACACTATGGCACATATGGACAACCATACGACTGGTCATCAACAGCACCATCGGAGACAGAACGAGGGGACATGCCCGAAGCTTCACCTTGAGGAGGCACGTCAGGAGCTTCAATTTAAAGCTGCACCAGCTAGTCATTCGACCCAGACGCTTCGAAGTACGGTGCTTGGACACAATAACGCCCCGATGAGACAGCAAATACTAATATCACACTGGTCTCGAACTCTCCAAGGCATTCCTCAACAAAGAGGTCAACAGCTAACGTGCAAGAGAAGTGGACGGATCACCAATCCTTCAATCATTTCTTTCTAGCGACCTCATCCCTCCCACGCCTCACACCCATCCCCCTGCTCCTCGTCTTTCTCATCGTGCTCACATTTTGCTCCTCCTCCTCCTCCTCTTCCTGCTCTTTTTCCTCACCGTGCTTCTCCTACATCTCCACTTGTTCAAACTGTCCTAGCATTACTCCTTCTCGTCCTTCATCTCCTCCTCCTGGTCCTACTCCTCCTCCTCCGAAGCCCCGCCATCCAGCTAAACTCGCCCTAGTCGTCGTCGTCGTCGTCGTCGTCGTCGTCGTCGTCGTCGTCGTCGTCGTCGTCGTCGTCGTCGTCGTCGTCATCCTCGACCTCCTCATCATCAACCTCTTCCGCATCCTCCGTATCCCCCTCCCCTCCTCCTTCCCACCCGCCCCCCCGCTCCTCAACCTCTGGCCCTCCACCACCGATCCTCCTGTCATTCCGCTCCTCCCGTGCCCCTTCCACTCCTCCTCCTCCTGCTCCTCCTTCTCCTCCTCCTCCTGCTCCTCCTCCTCCTCCCTCTCCCGCGAACTCCACCGTTCCTCCCCCCTCGTCCGCGAGCGACAACGACTCCGTCGTTCTCTTCCTCCTCCCTCCTCCCCCCTTCTGCACACTGCAACTTCCACCCTCCTCCGCTTCGTCCCCTGCATTACCTTCCCGCTCCTCGTTCTGCTCCCGTCTTCCTTCTTCCCATCTTCCTACTCCTCCCGCTCTTCCCTCCGCCCCATCCTCGGCCTTCTCGGCACCCTCCTGTCCCTCCCTTTCCGACATCCTCATCATGCTTCCTCGTCCTCTCTCCTCCTCCTCCTCCTCCTCCTCCTTCCCCTTCGCCTCCTACTCCACCCGACTTTCTCATGAATAGCTCCTCTCCGTCACACTACCAGACGCGTGAACAAGGTGGGCCAACGTTGTTTCTCTTGAGACGTCCTCGCCGCTAGTGGTCCTGAATCTTGACATTCCCAATAACTCCGGCTGGAGGGCGGGTGATGTTCAAAACGTGGCTCCCGCCTCGGCGCCTTGCTCACTCCTCTACACACTGTCCAACTGGCCACGCTGATGGATGGTGGGCGACTTTCAAAGCGATGGTCCCGCCTCGGCGCCGCGAAATCTCATCTTGACAGCTTCCAGCAGCTACTAGGATTCAGGGTGGGTCATCTTCAAAATGTGGCTCCTCGGATGTTCGATTGGCCGCGTTGCAGAAGATAGCAGGGAGGAGCGCGAGAACGGCTACTGCTCTACATCGGGCTATCGCTTGCTACCTCTTCCGGGCATAGGGACAGACTTGGACAATCACACAACCCACAATTGTTGCAAGGATGGAGAGCGGCTCCGTTTCAAAAGGACCTTCCGCTTGCAACGATCCCAAAACGTATTCACATAGTGGCACAATTTCGCAACATCTACTTGGACGGAACACGATTGATTGTCAACATGAGGTCCTGGCCAGATATATCCTTGACCTTCGAACTTTATGGACTGGCCCTTTTGCGTATTCCGTCTGGCCAGACGGATGCAAGGCGACTCCCCATCTACAGGGCTTCCAGCCTCTTGGGATTCTCGAGGCTCCCAAGGATGCCCCACCGATCTCAGTGGTCACTGCAACAGCTCCAGCAGCAGCTCGGCACAGTGACCTCTGCACGGCGGAGAAAGAGGTGCCCTCCCTAAAATGGCGGCCGGCGCCGCCTCGTTTGGCGGCGGAGATCCGCGATTCTATGCCGCCACGCTGGTTCCGGGCAGGCTGTGCTGCCCGGCGGAAGGGGACGAGGAGGGGAGAAGCAGGCAGACGACGACGAACGCCCAGGCGGGAGGCCAGGGCCGGCGGGGCGGGCGGGCAGGCAGAAGACGGGCCAGGCGGAGACAGCAGGCAGGGAGCAGGAGGAAAGGAAAGGGAGGGAAGCAACGAGCAGAAGCGAAGGGAGGGGGAGGAGGGGGAGGAGGACAAGGAGGAGAGAAAGCAGCGGCCGCAAGCAGACAGGCCGGGCCAGGGGCCGGGAGAGAAGAGCCGCCCGCGACGAGGCTGCGGACCCTACGGCGGCGACCTGGGCGGGGTGGCCGCCCGAACCCAGCGCGATGCGGCTTGGTGGGGATTGCCCTCTGCGGGATCCATCCCCCGCCCCGCCGGGGGAAGGCCGGGCGGCGCGTGGGAGGGGTCGCCGGCGCGACGTTGGCGAAAGGGCGAGGGGAGCGCCCGCGCTGCCCAGCAAGGGCGGGGGGGGGGTGGGCGGGGGGCGCTAGGCAGCGCAGGGGGCACCTCACGCGGCGTCTGCCGTGGAGGCCGCCGTGGCCGCGGTCAGGCGGGCCGCTGCCACCCCCGCCCCTCCAGACAGGGTCTGAAGTCGCCGCAACACCGCCCGCGCGTTCTCCCTGTGCAGGGAGACGGAAAGTCGCTGGGCATGTTGGTCCGCAACCAGTGCGGCGTCTTCCCCCGTGGCGTCAGCCACCCGCTTGGCCAGGACCCCGAAGGCCCTGCGTGCCTCGCGGCCCCACCCGCCGCCGTGGGCTTCCACCACCGTGGGGAGGAAAGTGAAGCCCTGTGCCGCGCAGAGCCGCGCGGTGTTCTGGTGCTGCCTTTTGAACTCCTCGTACCGCTCCGTCGCTGCGCTTGACGAAGCGGCCGACGCGGCGAGGAGATCGGCGCGCAACCCTGACGTGGCGGCAAAGTCCCAGGCGGCCGCCGTGCCGTTGCGCCACCGCGGCAGGTAGACGTCGGCAGGGCGGCGGCCGTTGTCGTCCACCTGGGACCCGCCCTGCTCGCCCCCGGGGGTGGCCTCCCCGGCGGGGCGCGCGGGTAGCAGCCCCGGGCGCTCCAACTCCGCCCCGGCGTGGCCGGCGGCCAGGGCGTCGAAGAAGGCCTGGTTGCGCAGGGCGTTGTGGCGTTTGGTCCTGTCGCCGCGGCAGGCGCAGACCAGGGCGTGGTCGCAGACCAGGGCTTCCAGCCTGACTGACAGACCCATGGAGAGCTCGTCGTTCAAAGGTCGAAAGGGAGCTCCTGTAGTGGAATGGAATGCTTGTAGGGGCATGTGGCGAGGGGACTCGGGATAGCATGGTGGATTGCAACACCGTTGACACAATCTTGTGGCTACTCTGGCGCTTATCCTTTAAATGATCCTTCTTCGCCTCCCCCCTTCACCCGTCACCCTCCCCACCATGTCTGTCTTCCTCTTCCTCCACTCGCCCAACCCCTTTCTTGCTGAGCGAGCCATCCTCGTGTGCGTACCCACTGCCCTAAAACCTGCATGCCAAACTAATTGCACGGAACCAGAGCTGCGCCACTCCTCCTCCTCCCCCTCCCCCTCCTCCTCCTCCTCCTCATCCTCCTCCTCCTCCCCCTTTGTCTCTCCCTCCTTCCAGCTCTTCCCCCCTCCTTCTCCGTTCCTCCTGCGGCTTCTCCCGACTTCCTCCACTCCCAAAAGAACTCGGGGAGACGTGGGACTCGAGTTTGGAGGCCTCGGGTTGCCCTGACGAGGTCGTCAGACGAATCACGAGACCCAGTCTGAAATTTCACGCGAGATCCCGCGGCAAACACCGCACGCAAAAAACATGCCGTCAGACTCCGGGAGGGGCCCGTCAGAAAACGCCGGCAAACCCGAGGACTCGGGGGGCCCGAGTCTTGCATAGGGAGGAGGCGGAGGGAGGAGGAGGAGAGGAGGAGGAGGAGGAGGAGGAGGGAGGAGGAGGGGAGGAGGAGGGGGAGGAGGGGGAGGAAGAGGAGGAGGAAGGAGGGAGGAGCAGGAGGAAGACCCCTGCAGTCCCCCCCCCCCCACCCAAGAGCCGCCCCCCGTGCGGGCGGCAGGGCGCAGTCCCCGCTGTCGCTGCTGCAGCTGCGGGAGGCGGCGGCGGCGGTTGCGGGGGGCGGTTGGGGAACGCCGAGGCGAGCCGCGAGGGCAGGGGGCCGGAGGGCAGAGGGATGGGGGGGGAGGTGGCTGCCTACCAGCTCGCCCGAGTCCAACCCGAAAACCCGAGTTTCGGGTTGGGGGGGGGGTACGGGGTCCATGTCCGTTTCTTCCATGTTCCGTGACGCCCCGCCAACCCCCCCCCGGTTGGGAACGGAGGGCAAAGTGAGGCATTCGGGCTGGGTTTTGGGTGGTGTGGTCGGTGATGGGAGGGACGATGAACAAGGATGGGGGGGGGATGGCAGGGGAGGAACGCTGGGGTGGGGAAGATGACGAAGGATGGGGTGGAAAGAAGAAGAGGGCAGGGCGGGAAAAGGATGGGCACAAAGTTTTGTGGGGGAGCAGAAGAGCAAGAAGACGAGAAAGGCGGTGTTGGGGGAGTAAGAGGAGACGGGCGGAAGGACGGGGTCTGGTCAGAGCAACGCGAGAGCGAAATTCGGTCCATTCGCGAGCGCGGCATGGCACTGACTCGCCCAGAACAGCACGCATAGCCTTCACAACAAGTATCACCCCCCCGCCTCCTTCCAACGAAACCTTACCAAGTCCACCCCTGCAAGCGGAAACAGAAACGCCGCGCGCATTCGTTTTTAAAAGTGTGCGACAATTTCAAGGATGGGAGACGGGTCTGTTTTTCAGAATGTGTCTATCGCCATCGCGTCGCGCACAATTGTCTTCAGAGTTTGGCAGCTGGTTCACGGATGGAGGGCGGAACCTTTCTCAGAATGTGGCTATCGCCGAAGCGACGCGCACATTTGTCGTCAGAGTTTGGCAGCTGTTTCACGGACGGAGGGCGGATCCCTTCTCAGAATGTGGCCATCGCTAAAGCGTCGCGCACATTAGTGTTCAGAGTTTGGCAGCTGATTCACGGATGGAGGGCAGCTGATTCACGGCTCAGAATGTGGCTATCGCCATAGGATCGCGCACGGATGGATGGCGGATCCTTTTTTTGTTGTGTGTGTGGGGAATGTGGCCACGGCCTCAGAGTCGCGCGTTCTCGTTCTGCAGACTTTTCGCAGCTTCATGGGCGGAGATGAATTTCTTGTCAGAATGCGACTATCCCCTTGGCGTCGCGCGCAGCCGCTTTCAAAGCTCAGCGGGGCGTCACCGATGGTGGGCGGGTCCTTTTCAAAATGTGACTCTCGTCTCAGCGCCGCGCGTCTCAAACATTGGAAGAGAAGCTTCACGGATGGAGGACGGGCCCCTTCTCAGAATGGGGTTCTCGTCGTGCCGCCGCGCACATTCGCCTCAAACGCTACGAAGAGAAGTTCACGGACGGGGGCGCGCCCTGTTCGCACCGTGGCTCTCGCTTCCCAGCGCCGCGCACACGCGCCTCCAAACAACTCTGCCAAGGCCTCGCGGATGGAGGGCGGCTTGCTTTCAAAATGTGGCTGTCGCCTTCGCGCTGCGCGTGCGCGTCCTGCAAGCTCGAAAAAGCTCCGGGGGTGGAGGGCGGCTTGTCGTCAAAATAGGGCTCTGGCTCTCGCCGTAGCGCCGCGCGCACTCTTCTTCAAAGTTTGCAACAGCTTCGCGAATGGAGGGCGGCTCCTTCTAAACGAAACGAGCCTCCCGCCCTGGCGTCGGGCGCATTCGGTTCAGAAGTTTGAGAACTCTCACCCCTCCCACGGTTCGTGGCCCCACAGGGAGCTCCACCGAGGGCCCCGGCAGCAGGGTTCGCACGCGGTTCCCCGCCCACCCCTGGTCCATTTCGGCACACCCCCCTCACACAGCTCGCGGTCCCATTGGGAGCTCCACCGAGGGCCCCCGTGGCAGGGTTCGTGTGCGGCTCCCCGCCCACCGCGCGTCCATTTCGGCACACCCCTCCATCGGTTCGTGGCCCCACAGGGAGCTCCACGAAAAGGCCCCGGCAGCAGGGTTCGCATGCGGCCCCCGCCCACCGAACCGGAAGTTCCCCGCCCAGTACAGCGTTTCGTGGCCCTAGAGAGAGCTCCACGGAAGACGATACCCACAACTGAAGTTCTCACAACTACACATGGTTGGGTTCTTCGCCAGGCTATGTTTGTTTATTCTGTATCGGTTTAACCTGGTCTTTCGCCATTCAATGTTCAAGCTGTCTCCATTCTGTATCAGCTTACTCTATCGCGGACGCGAGAAAGAGCGACCGCACGCGCGCGCAGGCAATCAGGACAATGCGCAGCGTCACAATACACGAGTCCGCGCTGAGACTCTCAGAGCACGAGTGAGACATTTGGTGCTCACCATTCAGTTGTCGAAGCAAGTGTGTAATCTTAGGTCGGGCATGTCCCCCTAAAGGCAGAGTTTGGCGAAACAAAAAACATAGCCAAAACATGCACCCAAATTGTCAAACCTTTAGAGAAATCCTCCCCAGACGACTTTTTGACCATTTCTGAATCTTCCTCCTGTAGAGGGATTGTGCACTGCTCACGCTCAAGCGCGCGCGCACCCCCCCCAGGGCACAAGAGAAACAATTGGTTGTCACCGTGAAGTTTCGAGGTTGCGATGACCATTCTTGATTGGTTATGGTTTGCGCGCGCGCGCTCGCGGGCAATGAGGAAAGTGCGCTATTATGTTTCGCCACCATGCATCATTCCACATTGGGGCCCTCATGATATTAATGGAACGAACGGTTTTCACCGTGCATGTTCGAAATGAAGATGGCCATTCCCCGTTGGTTTCCGTGTTGCGCACGCGAGTGCGCGCAATACGAGGCATGTGTCGCTTGCTGGTTCACCTCCTGTTGTTCAAAGCCCCCGAGACAAATCCCCTGGAGGCGGAGTATTTGAACCCCGACCCCCAGACAACCTAAAGGCAATCGAATGGAGCCAGGGGCGGAAATGCGGGCAATTGGTTGTTCACTGCCCGCAGACACGTCCCGAGAAGCCCCGCCTGGGTTCTACTTTGCTGCGGCCCCTGCGGGGGGACAACTCCTGCCCCTGCAGTCACCTACAGACACTGAGACCCTGAGACTCCTCACGCTGGGATGCTGCGAAGATGGCAGCCAGAAAGCAAGATGGCAACCATGCCGCACGCAGAAGGCGATGCCCTTCTGATGGCCATGGTCCCCATCTCTGGAGCGGGCGTCCCGAGAATAAGCCGTCGTACTTTCCGCCGCGGATTGCACAGTCCATAAACGGGACAACCCATTGTACCATGAGTGGCGAGACCTATGGCGCAGTCCATGTCGCAACCAGTAGATGGCGCAACCTATGGACGGCGCAACCCACTGGTCACGCAACACACGGCGCAATCCATGGGTGGCGCGGACCCCCTGGCAGTTTCAACGGGGCTACGTCCGATTTATGCTCACCGTTTTGGCTGACGGTGGGGACAAAGCGGCTAGCTGTCTTGTGATTGCCATCGTTGTCGTCAACCTGGCCACCTCCTCCGTACTCCTCATCTTTACCCGCCTCCTCCTCCCACCGCCTCGTTCATTCTCCTCCTCCTCCTTTTCCTCCTCCTCCTGATCCTCCCCCTACCTTGCCCGTTGCTCTCCGCCTCCTTATCCTCGGCGGTCCTGCTGATCATGCTCCCGATGCTGCGCGCGGTCCTGGCAGCGCGCAGATCGGCGCAGGAAAAGCCCGCGCCTTCCTCGCATTTCTGCAAGTGCCTCCAGATAGCTCTCTCTGCCTTGGTCTCTGCTTCTGCGTCTGCCCATATCTCCCTCTGTCTTTCTCTCTCTCTCTGGTTCTTTTTTTTCACTCTCTCTCTCTCACTCTCTCCCCTCCTCTCTCTCACTCTACATCGTTTCTCAATCCCCCGCAGTTGCGGATAAAGGTGGGGGGCGGGGGGGCGGTCGCTCGTCGGCAGTCTGGGAAATCTCGCGTTCAAAAATTTACGACGCCCGCCACAGGCGCCAATTTTTGCACATCGCACAGCGTGCCCGCCGCAAACGTCAATTGTTCTCCCGCCCGAGCAGCGTTGTTGGGTCGCGGGCGGGTCGCGGGTGGGTCGCGGTCGGGCCGCGGACGAGGACGACGGCAACAACAAGCAGGAACAGCAATCATCCGCACTGCAGAAGCCCACTTCAGCCACGCACCTACGTGTGCGACCGTTCGGCCCCTCACTCTGATGTGTCAATCTACGTGTACACACGCATCATGCGAATCCATGTCCGTCGGTGATAGGTTCGCTTTGCGTGCCAGCTGCGTCGGGGACTTCAAGGCGAGAGAAGCACGTCCAACCTTCCACTCGAACCTCGACATTCGGATCCTCGCATGGAGTCCGCGTAATCACTCCGGAAGTGCAATGGCAATCGCGTCGTGAGGCTTCGAACGGTGGTCGCTCTATGGGCACCGACCTGCTGCTTAACATTCGGGCGCCCACCGAGCGAACTCCTACTACACCAGAGAACAATCCCCAATCAATGGATGGTTTGATGGATAAGGAGATTGACCAGCTGGCCATCGCTCGGGCGTCCATTCCCTGTTCTTTTTTTGGTTTCGTGCGTGGTTTTTCCGCCAAATAATCAAGGATGCTCCTCAAGGGTCCTCGCCGAGAAAGAATACACACGTCCGAGCGATGCCAGGCCAGGACCCTGGGAACCCGGAACCAACCGCCATGGGCCCGGAACTAATAACCAGGAGCCCGGGAACCCGGAACCGGGACCCCAGGAACCCAGCCGGCCACCAACATCGGCGGGGCACTTTCGCCAAATCTTTCAACTTCCGCTGGGACTCCTTCATTGCACGCACTGATTGGAGAATCTGTATGTATGTATATATCTATCTATCTATCTATCTATCTATATATATATATATATATATTAACTACACCTGAGAGAGCCCAATCGGTGGATGGCTTGAAAATTGATACTCTGGATCTTGAGATCGACTGTGAGATCGATACAGAGATCGATCGTGGAATCGATTGGGGCATTTCCGCCAGGACTCCTTCGGTGCAAGCGCTGGTTGGGGCATGGCCAGCGGCAGAGCGTGAGGCGCAGCAGGGCGGGCCGTGGCCGCGAGACGCAGGGCTCCGCGAGAGGAAAGCGCGGCGCGAGTGCGGCACGCGCAGGCCTCCCCGCCTGGGAGCGCGGTGCTCCCGACCCCTCACCGCGCGAGGAGGGGGAGGAGGAGGAGGGGGAGGAGGAGGGGGAGGAGGAGGGGGAGGAGGGGGAGGAGGAGGGGGAGGAGGAGGAGGAGGAGGAGGAGGAGGAGGAGGGGGAGGAGGAGGAATGGGAGGAGGAGAAGGAGGAGGAGGAGGAGGAAGCCAAGCGGGTGCAGCGCGCCTGCACGACCTCTCATGGGGTGCTTTCTGGCCGACATTGCGAGGCGAATCCAGCCGTGCCGGCTAGGGGTGGGTCGCGGCATCGGCGTGTGCTCCTCCTCCGAAAAACGAGCGCCGAACGTATCCGTGTCCGCGCCCTCGCGGTCTGGACTCCCGGGCGCGATCCCGCAGGTACGCGGGCGCACGGAAGCGTGCCGCGCGGGGCAGCCGCGAACAGAAACGCCCCGTATCCGCGGGATTGCGGCCCAGGGGCCCAGCACGCGAAAACGCGGATACGGATATGCTCGTCGCCCACGGGGAAGACGTATGGGCCGGCGCCAGAGATCCGACTCGGCGCGGACACATGGAAACGTCGTGGAAAATCACGACCGGAGCTCGCAACTCCATCACGTTTCAAGCCGGGTCGATCTGTGTGGGCCCAGGGGCACGAAGCTGGACAACCACGCTCGGCTCGAAGGCATTGGGGCGCCAGGATTTCAAGGGTCAGCGGCGGGTCCGGGGGGCAAGTGCGAAGGGGGGCCTTCTCAGAAGGCTCGGAAGTCCCCTGGACTTCTGAGCAGTGCTACGAGCCTCCCCGGAGACACAAAAAAACTTCTCAGAAGTCTGCCAGGCCTCTGAGAATCCCCGCCGCCTTCAGAGAATGCCTGCTCCTTGTCGTTTCCCCCCATCCCTCGGCGCCGAACTGAAACGCCAGGACCCCCACTGGTGAAGGGCAACGATAGGGGGGGACTGGCATAGGCGGCATAGGGGGGGATGCATCGACTTGGAACCTGCGATACCTTGCCGATAGATCGGCGATAGGCCTCCGATGGTGAATCCGCACCTTCCTGGGCAGGTTGGGGCTATCGGGCCCCTATCGGCGATCAGTGGGCGATTCTCGGGGGCGCGCAAACATGGATTAGCGATCCATGGATTTGGCGCCCGGTCACCAAATCCATGGATCGGGGGAGGTGCCCTCCCCCAAATGCGGCCGGTGCCGCGTCCGGCGGCGGAAATCACGGATGATTCGTGAGAACGGGGCCGTCGATCACCCACCCCCCCCTGATCCATGTTTGCGAGCGGCTGAGATTAACGGGTCGAGGCATCCCACCCCATGCCTATCCTTAGGTCGGGCATGTCTCCCTACAGGCGCATTTTGGACGAGGAAAGAAATACCAGAAAAAGAATCAGAAATTGACCAAACAAATATTCAGACCATCGTCCCCAGACTATGCCTTGACCATTCTTGAGCATTCCCCCTGTAGAGGGAGATGCCCGACCTAACCCTATGCCTGTTCCCCCCTATCGTTGCTCCTGCGCTGGGGGGTGGGGAGGCTCCCGAGCGGCGTCTTCGTGAGACTCCCAGTCGGCGTCTGCGCGAGGCCCGCCCTCGGCGGCGGCGCGCCAGTGACCTGGGGGCGCGAACGCGCGCGCGACGGCGGCGGGCAAGGCTGGCGCCGCGCGGTTTCCCCCGTGGCCGTTGTGTAATGTGGGCACGCGATGTTATGAAACATGGGAGCGGCAAGATTTGTTTTAAAGGTAGGGGGGCGGGTAGGGGGGGGCGGGTAGGAAACGAGTAGACCACGCGCTGGCGCGAGGGCCCTCGGAGCCCGCGCGCCGCCGCTCGAGGAAGGAGGGGGAGGAGGAGGAAGAGAAGGAGAGGAGGAGAGGAGGAGGAGGAGGAGGAGGAGGAGGAGGAGGAGGAGCGAACGACGAGCGGGAGGAGGAGGAGGAAGAGGAGGAAGAGGAGATGGAGGAGATGGAGGAGATGGAGGAGGAGGAGGAGGAGGAGGAGGCGGAGGAGGAGGAGGCGGAGGACGGGTGGCTTATAAGTTCTCCGGAGAAGCCCTCCAGCCGGCGCCCGCGCGCATGCGCGCGCGCTGCCGCCATGGGCGCCGTGCCGTCGTCGTCGTCGTCGTCGTCGTCGTCGTCGTCGTCGTCGTCGTCGTCGTCGTCGTCGTCGTCGTCGTTCGTGCCCTTCGCTGCCCGCCCTCGGCGGAGGCGCGCGCCCGTGGCCTGCGAGGCGCGCGCGCGCGGCGAGGGGGCGGCCCGAGAGCGCCATCTGCGGAGAAGCGCGGGCGTGGGCCTCTCTCGGAGCCCTCGCGGGGCCGGAGGGGGCAGCCTTGACTTCGTGGGAAGGGTGAGGGAGGACCGAACCCAACCAGGGGGCTGTCGCGCTGGAGCGGGCCTCGGATTAAAAGCGGGGCTGAGCCAGATTCAGCGGGATTCAGCGGGATTGAGCGGGATTAAACGGGATTGAGCGGGATTGAGCGGGATTGAGCGGGGTTGAGACGGATTGAGCGGGAATGAGCGGGATTGAGCGGGATTCAGCGGGATTAAGCGGGATTGAGCGGGATTGAGCCAGACTCAACCGGATTAAACCGGATTTCGGACCAGGACAGGGCAAACTCTGGATTTGACCTCCCAGGAGCTGCATCACAGGGCAGCCCAGGTGCGGGCACGCCGCCGCCATTCGGCGGCCAGCCCGGGGGTGGAGGCCACCTCGGGAGCCTCTTCGTCCTGGACCTCCTCCTCCTCCTCCTCCTGCTCCTCCTGCTCCTCCTCCTCCTCCTCCTCCTCCTCCTCCTCCTCCTCCTCCTCCTCCTCCTCCTCCTCCCCCTCCTTCTCCTTCTCCTCCTCCTCCTCCTCCTGCTCCTGCTCCTGCTCCTGCTCTTGCTCCTGCTCCTGCTCCTGCTCCTGCTCCTGCTCCGGCTCCTGCTCCTGCTCCTGCTCCTGCTGCTCCTCCTCCTCCTCCTCCTCCTCCTCCTCCTCCTCCTCCTCCTCGTCCTCCCC